CTTAGCATTTTAGGGTTATTATGGCAAGGTGCTGAAACAGTAGAGACGAAAATCTAACATTTTTCATACAAACACAAGATTTTCAAGATGAAGTCTCCGTCATTACCGAAAGCATTTGCAGGAGTAGTTGAAAAGCAAAAAGTGTGGAGTTTTTTTTTGCATCTCCCAGTGTTCTGAATTTTGTTCCGAGCAGAAAAAGCAAGAACAAAAAGGTAATCTAAGCCGACGAAACGCCATCTAAATTCCCACTTTTTTTCGACGTAGTTTACATATGCTCTGGCTTTATTGACATGGTATGTTTAGATGCATCGCTACTCTTCCTACTTGTCAAACGACATCCATTCTCGTGGAGTGATAAGACGTTCAGCTACTTTTCTCTAGCTCGAGGTGTGCTGTTCTCAGCCGGAATGATACTCTGTAAGTGAACAGTTTAGCTGCATTGTTTCAAAGTGCTGGCAACATCACTGCTATTGCTTAATTCCAGATCCTCTTCTTCTAACCTTGGTTCATTGGTTGGGCAAGGATAGTTTGATGATCTTGATTGGCATCAGTGCATCGGCAGCATCGTTCTTCGTAATTTCGCAAGCTAACACAACCCTGGAAATCTTCTTGAGTGAGTTTTAGCAACATTTTTATAATTTTGGTAAGCACTAATTTAGGGTTTGAAATGGCTAGAATTCACCTGATCATTTCTGACTTTAGCAAAAATTTTTTGAGAACTTGACTAGCTTTTGAACCCAAAAAATGCAGAAAGGCTTGTTTTTGCCAAAATTTCTTCCATTTTATCGTGTTTGTCAGAATTTCTTCCGATAACTCTTAGAAATGAGAAGTACAAGAAATTTAAAATCTTTACTATTTTGGGAGTCATGATTCAAGTTTTCATTTATCCCACTTCCTTATTTGGAGTAGAAAACTGAAGTCAAGCATTTCGCCATTACCTTGATTTAGTAAGTTCAAGGATAATCGTAAATTCTTTTTTTTTTTGAAAAGCACTAGCTGAAAGATTAGGTTTTGCTGCCCCGAAAAGTCACCCTCAAGTAAGCAAAAATGTCCTTCTACTCTTTGTAAGCCGTTATCAATGCTGCCACTTATGAAGAAATTTCCTGTAAGAATATTATTTGGGTCGCCATCATTTCTCGAATTTCAAAAAATTTTGAGTCGCAAAAAAATGTCGATTTCCAATCTTCTTGTTTTAGCCTCTGCATTTGGCATTCTGTGTGGTGGTATTCCTCCTGGTTACCGTTCATTTTTACCTCGTATGGTTCCTAAAGAGCAAACAGCGCGACTGTTAACGGGTAAGTTGTCTATTATGCTAATGCTGCTGCTATGAGCTTATCGATGAAGTTTAGTATGCTCGATAATTATGGCATTTTGCCCAATGATCTCGACTCTGATCTTCAATTCGATTTATAATGCGACGATAGAATGGTGGCCAGGATTTGCCTTTTTCGTTGGGGGTATCCTTCAAGTGATCGTCGTTGTTGGACAAGGGTTAGTGGCGAAAGTTCTTGGTCGAAAATTTTATCTCATCAGACTGTGGCTTTTTCAGAGGTATACATATTCTGATGCGTCCACAATGGCTCCTCGAAAAGAGATTGAAAACACAGATGCAGTCGAGCACAGTGGTACCAGTAGGAGATGATGTGGAGAATAATG